TTTTAGAGACAATATTGTTGTAACTAGTGTTTGGGAATCTATAATCAATATCTATTGTGATAATGAAGTTGTAATTTAAAAAAAAAAAAAGATTGAGAAAAATCACAAAAAGTCTTCCACTCAGTTACTAATAATGTAATTCCATATAGAAAGAGTTTACAAAACAATTTTATTGTTAGGATTCATATTCTTTCCACTACTCATCAGTCAGTTTGTCCAGCTGTGATGACATGAGTTTTGCTGTGTTGCTAAAGCGATGTCACCAGAATTTTGAATGCCGACAGGGTAACCCATAATGGCAGGTTTCAGTTGAGCCTCTGGATTAAGACAGACTCAGAAGAAGAAAAGGTGGATAACTTCCAAACATTTAGCTGCTGGAAAACGTGAATAATAGTAAAACACTGTCAGCACCAGAAGATTGACTATTGAAATGTGATAACAGTGCCAGAATATTGTCCCATATAGTGCCAGAGGATGAGCCCCTCTGATAGGAAGGTACTCAAAATACATCTGAGAAAGCGTTGCCTCTTCAAAATAAGGAGAAGCAGGTGTAAACACCCATTAATAATTGGAATGTGAAATATACAAAGTATGAATATAGGAAAATTGGAATTTGTCAAAAATGAAATAGAATGCATAAACATCGATTACCTAGGCATTAATGAGCTGAAATGGACTGGCATGGGCCATTTTGAATCTGACAATCACATGGTTTACTATGTCAGGAATAACAAATTGAGGGGCAGCATTCATCATCAAACAGAACATTTCAAGATCTAGCTTGATATATAATGTTGTCTGCGATAGGATAATATCGATGCTCCTACAACGAAGACCAGTTAATACCACTATAACTCAAATTTACGTACCAACCAAGACAGTGATGATGAAATTGAATAATTCTATCAACTTCACTCTGAAACTGATCAAACATGCTATCAACATGAAATGATAATTACTAGTGATTGGAATGCAAAGGTTGGAAACGAAGAAAGATCAGTAGTTAGGAAATATTAACTTGGTGATAGAAATGATGGTGGGGATGGCATGATAAAGTTTTACAAGACCAATGACTTCTTCACTGCAAATACTTTTCTAAAACAATATAAAACATGATTATACACATGGACTTTACCAGATGGAATACACAGAAATCAAACTGACTACATCTGTAGAAAGATACAGTGGTAAAGCTCCGTATCATCAGCCAAAACAGGCCAGGTGCAGACTGTGGAATAGTCCATCAATTGCTCATATACAAGTTCAGGCCTAATCTGAAGAAAAATGTTAAAAATCCATGAGAGCCAAAATAAGACCTTGACTATATCCTACCTCAATTTAGAGGTCATCTCAAGAACAGGCTTGATGAATTAGACACTGACTTAAGACCAGAGAGTTGTGGGATGACATCAAGAGCATCATATAGGAAGAAAGAAAACAAACTGGATGTCAGAAGAGACTCTGAAACTTGTTCTCCAGGATGGGGATGCTTAACCAATTGGAAGAAATGAGGAGGTAAAATAGCTGAACAGAAAGTTTCAAAGGTCAGCTTGAGAAGACAAGGTCAAATGTTATAATGAAATATGCACAGACTGGGAGTTTAAAAGCCAAAGGGTATGGACACACTCAGCATTTCTGAAAGAACTGAAGAAAAAATTCAAGCCTAGACTTCAATACTGAATGATGCAGGAAGCATCGAAAGAAAATGGAGGGAATGCACAGAGTCACTGTACCAAAATGAAATAGTATATGTTCAATCATTTCAGGAGGAAGTATGTGATCAAGAACTAATGGTACCATAGGAAGAAGTACAAGGTGCACTGAAGGCATTGGCAAAGAACAAATGGCATACAAATTGAAATATTTCAACAAACTGATGCAACACTGGAGGTACTCCCTCTTCTATGCCAAGAAAATTGGAAGACTGGCCAACTGCTTGGAGGAGATCTACATTTGT